AATAAATAAATAAAATGAAGAGTTTATGCATGTCATCAGCACAATGATAATTATGTCTGGAAAAAAGACCTGAGATTTTCAATTACTGGATAAAACAAAATGTGACACAAAGGGTACGTCCAGATGAGCACACACATGCATTTCCCTGGGGATAAACAGCAATGGCACATAGTTGTGCCACTGCTATTTGTCCCCAGGGAACGTTCCTGCATTGCCCCATTTTTTGACACCGGGATGTCCATGCGTGGTGCATACAGACGGCAGCACTGCAGACGGGTCTGCAGCACCGCATACCACGCATGTGGACTTGTCTGGATGCGCCCACGGAGTCTATTGATAATGAAATATTGCTGTTCCAGAACATGCATCTTTCCTGTCATTTCTAAAGCAACTAACTGTATGTGCAGTGTTGGGCTTCATTATTCCCACTTTTTGCTATCTTATGACATGACAACAGAGTAAATGTTGCCTACTTTTATTCTTTCCACAGAAGGGAAACTGTTTGCGGGCTTTGGAAAAAGGTGAAAAATGGTTATTATTATGTCCCATATATTTCCCATTTGAACCTCATCAGTGTTATCAGGTGGCTGAAGAGGGGACATGCAACAAGTCTGAACTGGTTGCATTCAAAATTTTAAAACTCAGGAACAGTAAAAAATTCAGAAGATACTGGGTAAACCATTTGTTGTGGACCCACCCCTTCATGTAATTTCAAAGAGGAAGAAAAATCTGTGATGGAGTTTATTCCCAAAGCAAAAAGAAGAGGTAAAATTCAGATACTGGGAAGCTGAAAGTGCTTCTGCTGAACATGGTTATGATTTTTACAAAGCTATTTTTTCACTAGAAGGCAGTGTGGCAAATTCTGCATGGTAGGTATAAAGAGAAGGTGGAAATTTAACCTGCGCTTGTAAATTAGTCACTTTTAAAGTAATTTAGTGAAGATAAAATCCAATGGTACAAAATATGCAAAGACAGACAGGTGTTAATGCCAGACAGTACGTGGGCAGAAGAAACAATACTACTAACAGACTAAAACGTACAGTAAACATACTTTTTATTTCCAAACTATCCGACTCTCAATAGGTGCTACTGTTCATCCCTGTTTTTTGGTACTGGATTGGTAGTCACAATTATCCCCCACAGTGAACCTAGCACATTTACACAGTTTTGCCATTTCTGCCATTAATTTAATTGCCTATTTAACGAGCTTTTTATTTCCTCTAAATTTTCCCTGTCTGAATGGAATAAAAAAAATCAGCACAGTGTTAGGATTGAATTGGCAATTTTCTGAACAATAAACTCAGAGAATTATTGTAACTATATTCAGCAGAAAACTGAGATACAGCACAGAATCAAGTAGGTTTGAATTCTGCAAGGATGAAGGAAAAAATTATTAGAACCACTGAACAGCCCTTTAAAAATGTTTTTATTTTGTTATATCAAAGAGTAGCACATTTTTTTCAAGTGATATAAGGAACATTACTATTGATGCATCAATACTTACTCTGTCACTTTGTACAGTAAACTCATAGAATAAGCATTATATCTCCACTTATCAGGAACACTTTTATATAACTCAACACCAATACAAACCAACAGATAATAGAAATTATCACCTACTATGAAAAGGACACAGACAGTGGGTGGCAAAGATGGAGAAGAGAGAATAAGCACTAAGACAAACAGAATTATTGTACCGTAATGTTCCACTTCCCCACAACCCCTCCATTATACATCAGATTTTCACTGTAGGCAGATGGAAGAAACATTAATAAAACACACACAGATGGGAAAGATTTGCTTTATGTGAAATAATAAGTAACAACAAACATGAGATTTTTCTTCCACAGGAACAGGGAAACAGAATTGAAGCAGAAAACCAGTCAACGAACTGATCTGCATAATGGATACTTTGCATTAACCCTAAAAAATCATGGAAAAGAGAAAGAGGAAACCACAAACAGATGCATATATCTGATGAGAAATGAGCCCTCTGAAAAGACTGACCAGATGCTTAGCTGATTACCCTGAGACAGATGTCCTGGTGGACCATGTTAACTTATGATTTTACTGCACCCCAAAATATATGTACAAAAATGGGATGTGCTAAAAAACAAAATATGTAACTCTTAATACACCGATGGTAAGTTTACACTGAGCTAACAGAAAAACAGAAATCAAAAGGTTCAGTTAGATCAGACCTTTGGTTCCAAATTGTTGAGCACACTAGAACCACCACAGTTTTTCTGGGGACTGAGACGCAACTTTTCCAACTGCGAAGTTCTTATGATCTCACTTGTAAGTGGTATGGCCCCATTTGAGGTTGTGAAATCTAGTTGGGAAGCACTGCCCTAGTCATTTAGCAATGCAGAAAGGACAAGGATCCCCATGGTAAAAACCTCTGGTCTAACCTGCAAGAGCAACCAAATTATCCTCAGGGTAAAAAAGATAACAACAACTGTAGCTTCTGGTAAATATAACTGACAGTGAGACTACTGCTTATGGCAATAAAAAGGAAAATCGACTGCCAACTCTTGTGTGCAACACAGGACAGCAAGACAGGTATCTCTCTAGGATAGAGTAAGGCGCTCCCCTGAGGTGAGTTCAGGTAACAGGGAAAAAATGTCGGTGAGAAAGCAATCTCCTCCTACAGGGAAATACTTAACCTGACTACCTGCTATTAATTGGCAATCCCATATCCAGTCTCTTTAGACTGAAAAGGCAATATCCTAAAGCAGTTCCCAATAATATCTTCTTATTGCCAGGCCACCAAATGTACAGGTACATGAACAAAATTCTCTCCTTTGTTGGGAGCCTGGCTAGGATAACAGATTTCCAGTAACAGCAGTCTTGACTGGGACTTCAGCGATTTAGGGTATTTTTTTTCTGCTAAGCCATTCTGAAGTATATCCCCAGGCCAGACAGAATGTTTCTTAGTGCTCCACTGTACATAAAGCCACAGGAAATCAAAATGTGATTATGCCTGCAAGGAAAGTGATTCAGAAAGAGACCTAAAGCCATTCCAACATCTGAAGCTTATGCCTGAGAACTGTTTCTCCAGAAATGTACAAGAAACTGCCACAGAATGACTGAATGCAAAAAAGTTCTGATCTTACAACCTGGGGCTGTGTGTATGAAGGAAGCCTGAATGAGTGCTTGCCAGCTGGGAAGCAGCCTGGCTAATTGGGCAAATGGGAGAACCCACTTTTGGGATAGCAGGTGGCATTCAGACATCAGCAACTGCTATTCTATAAGGTCTCAGATAGATATGAATAACTGGCTATGCATAAGACACTCCGTATCACAGAGGAATCTTCCAGAGAGAGGGGTTTACCAGGTCCTAAGAAAATACTGTGACCCTCTGATTCCACCTCTGTGCAGTGACCCACAAGGTACACTTGAAGGGTAGCAAAGTGACACATTCTGCAGACATACACAAGCTCATGCGCTCTTCTTTTCGGCATCTCAATAGCTCTTTTTTCCTTTAGCTTTCAGGTGTGTCCTTTTCTGGAAGCACTTAGATACCTTCGTGCACTACTGCAGCTTCTCAGAAGGCTTATAAGAGGGGCAAAACCTGAGGGTGATGTGGTGAGCTCTTCAGAAAGTGTTCCAACAAAGCATGTGCTTCATCAGTTTCCCATGTGGTCAGCTTAGTGGAGATGCTGCAGAATGTTATTTTAAGGCATCCAAGCTGCTCAGCTCTGCATCTCTGCAGGCTGGCTTAGTGGAGGTAGTACAGAACCCTCTTTCAGATTCCTTAAAAACTCTGGTTTCCTCAAGGACATAATGCCGTAGGTTATTCTGGAGGCATTCAGCCTTCCCCTTGCTAGGGAGGGTATTTGGTGGTGAGAACATCATGCTGTTGCTCAGGAAGGAGAATACAGTGCAGAGAAGTCTAGAACTATGACACAGAAACAGCCTGCACTTCCTATTAGAGGCAGATCAATTCTCGGTAGGCTGGCATCTGAATTCAGAGGAAAGCAATGATTCAATGCCTGTTTCTTTCTATGGCACAGGCTGTGAAATTGGAAGCAGAAGTTCCCCACTGCTTCCCTCTGATTTTCCCTCACCAGACGTGTTGACCAAAAAGAAGAAAAAAACAAGAGCAAGGAGGAACAGGAAAAAATGGTTTTGGATTAAGAAGCCATGGACTGCACTCTGCTACTGGCACAGAGAAGCTAAAAACACTGACAGAATGATTCAGCTGATAGTTTTACATTTGCCTTGATTGATTTCCTGCTTCCTTAATTCCTGATAGGTGGAACAATACCACTTACTACGAGCATTTATTTTAGGACAAGGAAATGGGAAAATTATAAACATTAATTTGTTGTTTCAATGGAAGAAGCTTGCTGTTTCTGGTAGCACGCAATTTTTAGAAAACTAAATATTTTTTTTTTTTTTTAATTAAAAAAAAAAAGCTGTCTGTGAAATCTCACCCAGAATTTAGGATAGCTTATAACAGTAAACTGAACAGTACTTTTCCCTCTGGAAGCAAAACATAAAGCATCACATCACCATGGCATATTTCAAGCCTTCTACTTAAGTATTCATTCAAAATAACTGAACTCTTATGCAAATATGGCAACTTCTGCAATCAATCAATTTGTGTACACTGGTTTTAATTATAACGTTAGTCTTGATGTTACAGTCTTTAATTCCATGCACCATAGTATCGGATTGAAATATTAGTAATGAAACCCTTCTTTATTTTTTTAAGGGAGAAGTGGAATCAGAGGAGAATATCAGAATTAAAATGTTATGACAAAGTTTATGTCTGCCATCAAACTGCAAATGAAGATTGAACAAAATCCAGAAATATATCCTTTTCCCATATATTTTAATAGAAATGTATCAAGTTATATTCTAAGTGAAGGAAAAAGAAAGGTTCACAGAATGGCAAACATACTATGGAACGCCAGATAGGGGAAAAAATAGCGGCCTATAATATTTAAAGAAATTGGACAAGGAATTTTTCTTGATTAGGAGTTTAGTCTTACCGTGCTACAACTAAAAACTGGTCAATCTGACGATCTGTAAGGGAGCTATCTGGATCCCATACTTTTACTTCCAGCTTTGCCTGTTCTCTGTCATCTAATTCTCCTGTCAAAAAGGTAAATGGGATAAAATACTATTATTTACATTATTGTTCTCTGTGCATTTCTTTCACCACGTTTAAATGACATGTTGTACTTCAATTATGAACAAGGTTTAATAAAATTAACAGTTATATCCGTTCAAATTACATATTGTACCAGCTATTAAATTCCTCACTTAAAATCAGTAATTTAACTTTTTTAAAGAAGGTATTGAATGAAAGAAGTCTAATAAACCTGGTCATGCAGCTGAAGCATTGGCTCAATTTCCCACTGTATTTTTAAACTGCATCCTAACCACAAGAAAAAACTAATAGTATACTGATACTGTTTTAGTAAACAAATACTATTTCTCTGTTTTGAATATGCCTCACGATGGAAAACCCTGCTGAA